GAGCCGTTTCAATCAGCTAAATATCTAGTGCACTCAAACTGTCAGAGTGGTAAAAATCAAAAATGAGGTTGRATTTAATGTCATCCAGTCCTCTCTTTGAAGAGGCGCATTGCTTAAGAAATAAGGGTCAGAAGGGCAGGCTGGAATAGGATATAAATACTCAAAATCAGCTGCCTTAGTAGAAAAATACAAGTTTTTTTTTTTTTTTTGAGAGGGAGAGAGAGAGAATTTTTTAATATTTGTTTTTTTAGTTTTCGGTGTACACAACATCTTTATTTTATTTTTATGTGGTGCTGAGGATCGAACCCAGCGCCCCGCACATGCCAGGCGAGCATGCTACCGCTTGAGCCACATCCCCAGCCCCACAAGTATTTTTAATGGAGAATTTTTAATTATTATCATCAACTTTTTAGTTGTTTTCTGGTCATATTTGCTATTGGTTCATCTATCTATCTACACTTATACACATATGTTTCTGTTCTTTTTCCCATTTTATTAACATTTTACTTTTCATTCTATTTTTCTAAGAGGTGGTGACTTTTGTTTTAGGTGTTTTTGTCTTTGATATTGTGGAGGGGTTGGTGTTGTTCTGCTCCACTTGCTTGATTGTTTTATCACTCTTATTCTCTTCATCTCTCACTCTAACATATCTCTTCTCTCTCTTCTTCTCCTTTACTTCCTCCCTCTTTGATGCCTTCATGGGCTATCATGCTTCTACTTTTTCTCTTCTCATTTTTCTTCTCTCTGCTTTTTGCCTTCATACCCAACTTCTTTACTCTTGATGAAATGTATTGTTAACATCTTTTTAGTCCATGTAGTCTACCCATTKGGGAAATGAAATAAGATGATTCAGAGGGAAACCACCTTATCATGGCGGCTCCCCAAGAATGAATCAAAACAATAAACTGGAGGTATTACAATACCTGATCTGAAATTTTACTACAGAGCTCTAGTAACAAAACATCATGATGTTGGTATCACAACAGACATGAAGACCTGTGGAATACAATAGAAGACCCAGAGACAAATCCATATAGATTCAGTCATATGATACTTGACAAAGGTGCCAAAAATATTAGTTGGAGAAAAGACAGCCTTTTCAAAATGGTGCTTGGAAAACTGGATATCCATATGCAGAAGAATGAAGCTAGATATTTATTTTTCACCATGCACAAAAGTCAACTCAAAGTGGATCAAAAATTTAGGAATTAGACCAGAAATTTTGCAACTGCTAGACTTTGCATTCCAACATATTGACACAGACACCAACTTCCTTAATGAGATCTCTAAGGCTCAAGAAGTAAAAGCAAGAATTAGTAAGTTTGATGGTGTTAAATCAGAAAGCTTCTTCACAGCAAAGAAAACAATTAAGGACACAAAGAGAGAGACTATAGAATGAGAGAAAATCTTTGTCAGCATCTCTTCTAACAAGGGATTAATATCCAAAATATATAAAGAACTCAAAAAACTTAGCACCAAAACAAACAACAAAAACAAAAAGTCAAACCAAACTAAAACAGAAACAAAAATAAAAAACCCAAATAGCCCAATTAATAAATGGATAAAGGAATTAAACAGATACTTCTCAATAGAAGAAATACAAATGGCCAACAAATATATGAGGAAAATGTTTCCTTAGGAATCAGAGAAATGCAAATCAAAACTACATTGATATTTTATGCCACTCCAGTTAGAATGGCAGTCATCAAGAATACAAACAATGATAAATGCTGTCAAGGATATGAGGGAAAATGGTACACTCATACATTATTGGTGGTACTGCAAATTAGTACAATCACATTGGCAAGCAGTTTGGACATTCCTRAAAAGACTAGAAATGGARTCACCATGTGACCCAGCTATTCCATGCCTTGATATTTATCCAAAAGAATTAAGATCAGCRTGCTACCACGATACAGGCACAACAATTGTTTATAGTAGTGCAATTCACAGTAACCAAGTGATGGAACCAGCCAGGTTTCCATCAACAAATGAATGGATAAGGAAAGTGTTGTATACATACATAATGGAGTTTTACTTAGCTATAAGAAGAATGAAATTATAACATTTGCTGGTAAGTGGATGGAACTGGAGAACATCATGCTAAGTGAAATAAGCTAGAATCAGTCAAGGGTTGAATTTTTTCTTATATATGAAAGTTAGAGCAAAATAATGGAATAAAAGCAAGGAGTCCCCATGAACACAGAAGGGAAATCAGTGGARCAGAGGAAGGGAGGGATGGGAATAGGGAGGAGCTGTGGATGAAACTGAGCAAATTATGCTATGAACATACATGAATGTACCACAGTGAATACCACACATATGTATATAAACACATGTCACATATACTGAAATGGAACAAATTATATTCCATCCATGCATGATTATGTTAGAATGAATCCCACTATTATGTATAAATATAACGTACTGATGAAAACATTAAAAGAAGGAAAAGATGCTGGACACATATTAATAAAATGGATGATCATTTGACACATTCTGTCACAACTGAATTAGGCCAATGTGACCATTATGCAGTTAGAAGAGGGGAAAGAAATTATATTCATGCAATGTAAAAATCAAGTCATGATCTCTCTGTATTCATTTTGCTTCTGCTCATTTCTATACCAGTTACATTCAATTCTAGCTTAGAATTCTGGGATCAAACTCTTCTTGTAATATGATTTGATATAATATAAACTTGGGGCATATCCTGTTCTTGCATTATGAGAGTTCTTCATATTTCCATAGAAAACACACATTTTAATGAAATCACTATATTCTTCACTGCTGTAGTCTGAAGAATGTCTGTCTTGTGGGATACATTTCAAACTCATACTTAGGAAGTTTGGATCTGCTAGTGATTTTGAGGGGTCTGAGAATAATAAATAATGGTTGAGATTTATATAATTTTAAGAATAATTGGGGGGGGTTTCCTGATTTTACTTTGTTTACAATTATAATTTTATTTGGGCTTTTGCCTATTACATAGCTCTACTTGTTTATCCAATTGGCAACTCAATCACACCATTATAAAAAATGAATGTATAATTTTTACCAATATTTCCAGCTTTCTGTGTTCTATTTGTAATACCAACTTACCCAAATACCGAGGCTTGTATCTTAGGGATTTTTATTTTTGGAGGGGTCTCTTTCCATCCCCTTTGTGAAACATTCTATTGAATCTTCCTGGCAATGTCTTCTGCATATGTTTGTTTCTTGGAACCACTCATAGTAGCCCTGTTAATTCAGAGCATTAAAAAAACAAATGTTCATTGTTGTAATTGCCTCCTGTGGCTCACCCTAACTCCATTTCTCTAACTGCCGTCATTCCTTCCAGTGCAACCATATTAATCTTTGTAAGTCTTCACTGTGGTGATTTCTGTGCCAAAATAAATAAGTAGAAATCTTGAGTGGCTAATGGGCCTCCCATAGTGAATGGAATCTTGATTTTGGCATTTGAGAAATTCCTGAACTGCACTGTTCCAAACTCRCCTCTGATTTGAGTATATGCTGCCATCCTGTGGGGAGAGATATTGGGACCTCACAAAGAGCCTGAATAACTTCCCAGGTGACATCCAGGGAAGGGAGACTGCAGTCTTTCTAAGAACTGAAATGCTACTAGATGACCTTTAAGACTCTAGCAGTGGCCTTTACATATCTTACTGATGTTTTTCCTGTCCAGCATTCTTTTCTACAAATAGCACCTTTGACACTATATAAGCCCTTACCTGTGGAGCATGAATTTTGTGTAGTATCCAGTATAGGTTCCAGAAAAAAAATAGGAAAGAGATTCACATCTATTCAACTTTTTATTATGCAAATATGTATTGTGTACCTATTTTATATGTCAGGTTTGGCTCTAAGGTGATACAGAAATAGTCTTGAAGAAAAGACATGGTATCTCTGCACTTTTGGAGCTTAGATTCAAGTGTATGCACATGCATGCATGTGTGCTTATGTGTTGTGAGAAGATAGAAGATAGAAGCAAACAACAGTATGGTATTTCACAGGTGCTGTGGGGGGATTTCATAGGAATAGATACTATAAATACAGGAAGGTCATTTTGATTTTCTGTTGGGGATATGTCCCATTTGGTAGGAAATCAAAACATGGAAAATTATGCAGCTCCAATAAGCCAATATTATTATCATGAAAAAGATTGCAATTCAGGGCAGATAATTTATTTTAGCTGCAAAGGTTGATCTCTGGGGAAAACACTGGGGAAAATAGGTCTTTYGGTATTTAATAAGGTCCCTAGGATTTTCTAACTTATAATAACCCCTTGGGGCATATAAGCAGGTGGTTCTTTTGGCTATCTTCTACCCCATAGGATGGAGAGGACACACTGGGCAAAGTAACCACTAGAAATCATGATTTGTGTCTCATGATTTCTTAAACATTGGGAGACTAAGGGCTGTGCTCTGACTCTTTCAGTCCAAAACTCACAAAATAGTAATGACAACAATAGAACAGATGCCTCTTCAGGGATATTCATCCATAAAGTTAATCAGACCTATTTGGCCCTCCATGAGAACAGGGAAGAAGTATTAACAAGATCCTTTCCTGAAGTCCTGATGCAGAAGGGCGAGGGCTGAATTGTACCTGTGTTGCTATTCTTCTTCCAAACCTTATCTGTGGGTCCAGTGAGTCCTTTAAAAGCCTCATCTCMTCTCTCTCTCTCTATTGAAATTACCATTGACCCTGAGGTTGGAAGAGGTTGTCCCTGCAGAAATGGATCCGAGATGCTGTAAGGCCAAAAGTAATAATTGGCTTCCTGAACCTTATCYCCTCAGAAATTGCTGTCTATGCATGTTTTAATATTCATCTGTATACATTCTCTCAAGCTTACAAAATGAAAAAAAATGAAGACAGAAAATGGTGGGCTAGAATTCACCTCTCCATCTGGCTCTCAATCTCATTATATTGGATCTGGGTGGAGAGAGCTGACTTCTCCTTTTAATGCTACTATTTCTCCTTCTCTCACAGACCCAGTCCAGGAAGGAATGGCCTCAGGCAATGGCTCCTCAGTGACCCAGTTTATCCTGCTGGGTTTAACACAGCAGCCAGAGCTCCAACTGCCTCTCTTCCTCCTCTTCTTAGGAACCTACTTGGTCTCTGTGGTGGGGAACCTGGGCTTGATTGTTCTGATTGTTCTGAATCCTCACCTGCACACTCCCATGTACTACTTCCTCTTCAACCTTTCCTTCAYWGATCTCTGCTACTCCTCCRTCATTACCYSCCGAATGCTGATGAGYTTTRTAAATCAGAACATCATCTCTTATGCAGAGTGCATGGCTCAGCTCTTTTTCTTTGCTTTTTTTGTAATTGATGAGTGCTGTATTTTGACATCAATGGCCTATGATCGATATGTGGCCATCTGTAAACCTCTGCTTTACAGGATCACCATGTCCCATCAGGTCTGCTTTATGCTGATGGCAGGTGGGTATGCAATGGGGTTTACGGGTGCCATGGCCCACACTGGATGCATGATGAGACTCATTTTTTGTGATGGCAACATCATCAATCACTACATGTGTGACACACCTCCTCTCCTGAAGCTCTCCTGCACAAGCACCTCCATCAATGAGCTGGTGGTCTTCATTGTGGTGGGTGTCAATATAATAGTACCTAGTCTTACCATCTTTATTTCTTACACTTTGATCCTTTCCAACATCCTCTGCATCCATTCTACAAAGGGCAGATCCAAAGCCTTTAGTACCTGCAGCTCCCACATAATTACTGTTTCCCTTTTCTTTGGATCATCAGCATTTATATATTTTAAATCTTCTCCTGCTGAATCTAGGGATCAAGATAAAGTATCCACAGTTTTTTATACCATTGTGGGGCCRATGATGAATCCTTTCATATACAGTTTGAGGAACAAAGATGTTCAAGTTGCATTGAGCAAGACTTTGAAGAAAATGGTGCTTGTCTAAGTAGAATTTATATTGTTTATAAGTGGCAAATCCTAGTAAGGGCACTTGATATATAAAACTATGGAGAAAAAAAGTAAGAAATCACAATAGAATGTAATGTATTTAAATTATGGGAAATAAGTAGAGAAAGTTGCATGATAATAAATACCCAAATGATAAAGTTGTGAGATTTCTGACTAGGACATATCTAGAATTCCTATGAAGTTGTGCCATGGAGATATTGACTTTGACAGTCAATCATCTACTCATTCATTTAACAAATCTCTGTTACATGTTACAGGGGATTCTGTTTTGAGATATTCTATTGTTTTTCTAAAGGAGAGACATATGGGTGTGCTCATCTCATTTTGGTCTTTGGTCCTTTCTTAAGGGAATGTGATAAAAAGAGGCCAAAGATTTTCCTGGGATCCTAATTCTTAAGGGCAGGAACCTGAAATAATCATTTATTTTAGCAGCTAGAATGAAAACAGCCTGCACTGGACTTCACTTTAGGCAAGAATGTGGGTACAAAGACATGCTGTGTTTTCATTGGGAAGTTTACCAGAAATGTTTTTATCAATATTACCAGAGGAATTTTGGTCCTTTTCTCTGATAGATTTTAAACTTTCTAATTAGTTAGTGGCCTATGTGTACCCTTTATTGTTTCCATTCTTTCTTTTGTTTCAGAGGGAATGTATTTATTTAATATTGTAAACAAACAAAATTAATTTTTACCAGGGTCATAATTTCAGGGTTCCCCACCTGTGGTGCATCCCGCACACGCAGGCAGTCCTTGCCACATCTGCATGGGGAGGCTCTGGCTTTCATGTTACTCTGGGCAAGGCAAAGGATGCAGTTATTGCTTAAAGTAATAATGTACTTTGATTCATAAACCTGAAATTTGCTTTCAGGATAATATATGTAATATTGGTATTAAAATATTATAATAAAGTTTCACTAATAATATTTTCATATCCTATTATGTTTCCAAGTTTTAGGAGCTTTTTACTTCAAAAAGAAGAAAATAGGGCTGGGATTGTGGCTCAGTGGTAGATCGCTTGTCTTGCATGTGTGAAGCACTGGGTTTAATCCTCAGCACTGCATAAAAATAAATAAATAAAAATAAAAAGATATTGTATCCATCTTCAACTAAAGAAATATTTTTTTTAAAGAGAGAGAGATAAGTTTTTAATATTTATTTTTCAGGTTTTTTTTTTTTTGCGGACACAACATATTTATTTTATTTTTATGTGGTGCTGAGGATAGAACCCAGTGCCCCGCACATGCCAGGCGAGAGCGTTACCGCTTGAGCCACATCCCCAGCCCAAGAAATGTTTTTTAAAAAGAAGAAAATAGCCATTTTTAACCTATTTATGGGAATTTAAATACACTCTGATTTTTATATTTTGATACCAGAGGTGCTTAAAATCTGAACCACAAGCTCAACCCTTTTTATTTTGAAACAGAGTCTCACTAAGTCTTGCTAAGTGGTTGAGGCTTGCTTTGAACTTGTGTGTACAATACTGAGCAGGCACTAACCTCTGTGTGAACCTGAGATTTAACATCTTATGTATCGAAGGTCCATATAATTTGCTCTTTAAAAGTAAAGTGAAAATATACATTTAAGGTGTTCAATGAACTATATGAAATCCAAATTAAATAGGTTCATTTGTTTTATTTTTCAAAATCTAAAGCTTTTGAAAAGTTAACATATTACATAAATTTACATTTTATTTTCCTTCCCTCACTGTGTTTTATAGTACTGCCTTATTAAGTACCTGTTTGAAGACGTTCATTTCAGTTACATAAGTCAAATTAAGTCTCAGCTATGATTTCTCACTGGAGGAATATGAATGTGAAATAAAATGCACAAAATTAAACTATCTATATTGATGTTTTGGCATATGCATACAATTGTGAAACCACCAGCACATTCAGATGGTTCCTTCAGGCTGCTCTAACAGAAATGGCACAAACTGTGTTTTATTAACAACAGCCACTTATTTCTCTTAGTTCTGAAGTCTGGGAAGTCTAAGGTCAAGAAAAAGACATGTTTGGTGTCTGKTAAGGGCTGCTTTCTGGTTCATAGATGGCTGCTGTGGTTTGATTTTATCCCTCAAATTCAATCTGCAGTATAACAGTGTTGGGAGATGTCTGGGAGCGTATGGGGAGCTGTCTGGGTAGTGAGGGCACCAGCCCCCATCTGTTATGAGAGTGCCAGCATCTGGAAAGGACTTTTCTGCTGTGTTGAAACCTGGTGAAAGAGCAGAGGGGCAGGAGAACCATAGAGAGAGTGCACAACCTCAGCCCTTTCAGAATCAGCATTAATTTGTCCTTGAGAACTGTTCTCTCATGATCTAATCTGTTCCCAAATCATCCCTGTGCATCTTGAAAACCCTCCTGTCCTACTCTGTCCATCCCCTAGTTCTATCCCTAAGAAAACACTAGCCAGTTTTGTGTCCTTGTCAGTTCTTTTGCATTTTCTGGTATAATACAGAAATAAAATGTTATATGCAAATTTTTTGTCTTGCTTCCTTCAGTTGCTGTAAATATTTACATATTTTTCCAAGTCATTGGGAGTATTTAACTACCAATAAACTTTTGGACAGTGAAATCAAAACAATATCACTTAGAATCACTAAAAAATTAATCTCACCATTATGTGCAACTTTAAGCACCAATAAAAAAGGGGGGAAAATCAGGAGCAATAAAAGAATTTAACTACCTAGGTGTAAATCTAAAAAAACATGTGCAGGGCTAGCATGCTAAAAATTGCATAATACTTATGAAAGATGTACAAGTTGTTTTAAGTAAGTGGAGACACATCATTTTCATAGACTGAAAGACAACACTGCAAAGATATTAATTATCCTCAAATTATTATTAGTAGGATAAAAGATTTCTATAAAAATCTCAGCAAGATTTTTTTGGTATAATTTTATACAACTTTATGTAGAAAAACCAACTAACTAGAATAGCAAAGAGATTTGGAAAAAAACAAACAGAATAAAATAGCAAAATACCATTCTAGTTGATTTTAAAAGCTATATAGCTAATGTGGTCATGACTATATTGTATGAATTCAGGGTAGATACATTACTCAATGGAAGAGAATAGACAACCCTAAAATAGACCCACAGAAATAGATTCTTCTCTTGAGCTGTGTTGAGTTCCAGTGAGCATGAATTTTGAAAAAGGTGCAAAATTTATTCAATAGAAGAAAAAGAATCTTTTAAATAAATACAGTAGAGGGATAGGACATCTATAGCCAAAAAGATTAACCACATTTTAAGTCACCTTATCAAAACATTAAGCCAAAATGGGTCACAGACATATACAAAGCATCATATACAGAACTTTTAGAAAAAATAGGATAAAAATTTTAAGATATAAGGCTAGGCAAAGGTTTTAGGTTTGACATCAAAAGCAAAGCATGATCTGTGAACTTATCTTCAAGCTCACAGATACTTTTCTTGAGCAGCATTGAGTTCCAATGAGCACATTAAAACAACTTTATTCTTTATTGAATGTTTAATACTTTATTGAATATTTGATACTTTATTGAGGTGTGATTAATATATAAAGAGTTATACATACATGTTTAATATATACACTTTGATGAGTTTGGATGTAAGTATATACCTGTGTAACCATCACTAAAATCGATTCCATGAACATATCCATCATTTCCAAAGGCTTTTATTGCTATTTTAGTTAACTAATTAATTAATTTTTATAATAAGAACACAGCATAAAATCTACCTTCAGGCCTGGGAATGTAGTTCAATGATAGAATAGTTGCCCAGATTCAATCCTCAGCACAGAAAAAAAAAAGAAAAAAAAAAGAAAAAAAAAAGAAAAAGAATTAATGGGGTTTGGTGGCTCAAGCCTGTAATCCCAGCAACTTGGGAGGGTGAGACAGGAAGATCACAAATTCAAGGCCAGCCTGGGCAACTTAATGATACCCTGTTTCAAAATAAAATATAAAAAAGGGTGGGGATGTAGCTCAGTGTTAGAGTACTTCTGGATCTAATGCTTGATGCAGGGAGAAAAAAATCTTACAATTTTAACAAACTTTAACTGCAATAGATCTCCAAAACCTCTCGAATACCTAAAATTTGTACATTTTGACAACTATTCTTTCCTTCTCTTCCCACAGTAACCATTCTGCTTCTTTTGAGGAGTTAGACCATTTTTTTAAGATTCCATTTGTGAGCTTATGCAGCATTTGTCTCACTGTGTTTTTCTTATTCCACTCATCATAATGTCCTCCAGTTCATTCACAGTAAATGATAGGATTTTTCAGTTTTTTTWAAAGTATGAATAATATTCTAATGTATGCAGATACCACATTTTCTCTATATAGTCACCACTAATGAAAATTAAGGTGGCTTGCTTGTCTTGGCTGTAATGAATAGGGCTGCAGTAAACATGGGATTGCAGGTATCTCTTTGAGGTCCTGATTTTAATTCTTTTGGATATATATACTCAAAAATGGGAATGGTAGTTCTGATGGTATTTCTACTTTTAACTTTTTATATATATTTAATGTATGTACTTTAAGTTTTTGAGAAAATGTATACTCTTTTCCATACTGGCTGCATTTATTTTATATTCCCATGAACAGTAGACAACAGTAGACAAGAATTATATCTTTTCCACATTCTTGTCAATTGCTATTGTTATTCTTTTTGATGAGAGGTATGGAGTAATATTTTTATTATGGTTTTGAATTGTATTCCCAGTGATTAGTGGTTGCACAAGGACAACCTGTCTGCATCTTGAGGATGCAGGAATTCCCAGTCCTCTATATTCTCATTAGCATACACAAAATACTTATCGCTTTGGAGAGTCCAAGGATTTTATGTACTCCATGCCAAGAACTGAAGATGAAGAATATATATATATATATATATATACATATATATTTCTTATTATAAACTACATTATCACAATTATATTCAGCACCTCTCTATATATCTGTGGTTATTTGTTTGTCTTTATGGAGAAATGTCTATTTG